GTGGTCAGAGTTTATAGTATTTCATTTTATATTTAGAGTTTTACTTCCTGAGGTTGGGCTACTGTACTGCAGGAATATGCCAACTTCTGAAATACTTGAATCACATCCTATGACGTAACACAAAAAGAAAACGAGTGTTCAGTATAAAAACTGACCTTGGTGCCAGCAGTCGTCTTGGATTTGAGGCGTGACATGAGGTCACCTGAGGAGCTGCTGTCAGAGTCATCACTGAGGTTCTTTTTACGTTTAAGAACAGGTTTCTGTTTTGTGACGGGAGCTTTCTTTTCACTCTCTGAGTCGCTAGAATCGAATGACGGGACCTTCTTGGCAGCAGGAGCCCTGGACGCAGGTTTGGGCTTAGAGAGAGCATCCAAGATAGATGGCTGCTTCACATCTAGAGAAAAAAAACGACATTCCAAAGATAAATTTGTTGATTTCTTTGTTTTATAATGATCATGTGCTCAAATCTACCTATGACCTTTATAAGACCAAACAAACATCTCTGTTACCTGCAGCCTTCTTCTTGGATGCAGCTGGTTTCTTGGCAGCGGCAGGCTTCTTCGGTGCGGCCTCTTTGGTTTTCCGTTGAGTTGGAGGCTTGGATGCTGGCTCCTGATCGTCTGACAGAGATGTAAAGTGCCACAGAGACAAAATATCCAGTCCTCAGAGCCTTGGCCCCACATTTCTCAAATTCATCAAACTATGATCCTAAGTGAAAATACTTACAGCTTGACTTTGTGTCTGTTTTTTTAACTGTCGATTTGCTTTTTGCTACCTTCTTCCTGCAGAGAAAAGACAAGGTTTATTTTTAAGGTACATTAAAACAAAAGAAAGATACTTTTTATTAAGGTTATTCTTATACTCACGTGGGTTCTGGAGCTTTGGGAGGCGGAGCTGGAGAGTCCACATCATTGTCCGACACAGTGCTGGGATCTGGGGCGAAGCTTGCATCATCATCATCACTTATGACAGCCTTCCTTTTTGGAGCGTCCTTCTTCCCCCAGTCATCAAATTCATCTTCACTGTCAGACATGCTGTACTTCACCGCAGCTTAAACAGTAAAAAAGAACAAAGTGAAAAGGCAGCTTTAGTAACGCTGTGCTTTGTCAAAGAAAACAAGCATGAGAAGCTGAGGTGTTAAAATGCTGCTCAAAAACCCTTCAATTTGGCTCATTTCCAGATAAGTTAATAATCTTAATAATAAACACCTTCATTTAGAAAAAGCATTTTATGTTTACTGTATTATCTT